CATTCCCTACACCAGCCCCTGTAACTTGCCAATCTTGCCAGTCCAAAAACCTAATGGACGGGGATGGTGATTTGTCCAGGACTTGACAGCTATTGACAAGGTAGTTATTCCCAGTTTCCTAGCTATTCAACCCCCCCATGGCCTTCTGTTACAAGTTCCACCAGACTCAAATGGTTCTCTATTGTAGATCTTGGTTCAGCTTTTTATCAGCATCCCTGGAGACCCCAACAGCCAATATCTGTTTGCCTTTACTTGGAACAATCAAGATACCTGGACCATCATGCCTCAGGGGTTCACAGAGTCCCCTTATTTCTCCCAAGGACCTCACCAGGATTTAAATACCCTCCAGTATTCTGGAAAATCAACCCTTTTACAATATGTGGACAATCTCTTGCTGTGCTCAATTACCAAAGAGCCATCCTTAAAAGATGCCATTTATTTGCTATAACAGTTAGGTGAAAAGGGACATAAGGCATCTAAAGAAAGTTTTTCTCTAGATACTGTTCTTTACCTATGTCATAATGTAAGTGCTGTAGAAATTCAGCTGTCTCCAAGAAGGATTAAGATAGTGAAAGAATTTCCTCGGCCCTCCTTCATGTAAGGGATAGCTTCATGGATTTTAGGCCTGGCTGGCTATTGCATTCTGTAGATTCCTCATTGGTTTCTACTGGCTCCCCCACCCTATGAACTTACCGAAATTTCAGTCGCTGAGCCCTTTCCTCGGGAAGAAAAATATGAACAGGCTTTTATGAGGCTAAAACAACCCTGCGGTTACCGCCTACCTTAGGGCTACTTATAGCCTTCCATTTTTATTTATACATGAAAGGATAATCAAGCTTTGGGAATGCTCATGCAAAACCATGGCGATATACATGCCTCTTGTATGGCTGTTGCCTGTTATGTCCTTATCACCCTCAATCAACGAGCAAGGCTGAGAGAACGAATGGGGTCCTCAAACATAAAATCTCCTGTGGCCTAAGGTGTTGCCTCCGGTCTCACTGATTGTTCACAGTGCCCCCTTCGGAAGACAAACTCACTCCGCCAGAGATCATCATGGGTATACATCCTTTTGTTGATCTCTTATTATCTGCTTGGATAACCAGCTACTGTAAGTCTTTAATGTCTTATGCTGAAGCCTATCATCAATAAATAGGTTAAAGAAGCCTTCCCAGATTCCAATTCAGAGGATCCTGGTGGTCACAGACTGGAACCTGGGGAGGAGGTGCTCTGGAAATGTCAACGGAGAAAAACGGTCCTCAGACCTCACTGGAATGAACCTTACCAAGTGCTCCTGACCAAAAACACTGCTGCCCAGTTAAAAGGTATTGGATTCACGTCTCACAGCGGAACAAGGCTCCACCCGACATCTGGTCCAGGGAAACGTTGGAGCCCTCTGAAACAAATTGGCGCAGAAGAGAAATAGTTAATATCAAGGTGGACTATTTCCACCCAGGACACCAGATCAAGACTTCATAGTTTCACTAAACATGAACTCTTTTCTTATGCTTTTTCTTGCCTTCACTGTGGCATTGGCTTGGAAAGATAACACCCTCATTCATATCTCCCAGGCTCTCTCTCACTAAGGGCGGGGGGTGGGGGGTGGGGGTGGGGGTAATCTTTCAGATTGCTGGAGTTGTCATCAAAGATTTCAATCTGCCCATGATGCTAGAGACTTCTTGGTCCTCCCTGTGAATATTTTTTCTTCTTTTCCTGGTGTCACTGCAAACTACAATCAACCCCCTCCCCCAAAGTCTCTGAGTTCAACTTTTACAGCCAGAACAGCCTGTGCCTTGTCTTTACGTTTCTTCAATTATAACTGTATGTACCCAATTAGATGCAGCTGCTTATGTGAATCTCGGTACCTGTGCACCCCCACATTCCCAGGATTATCTAAATCACATCTGCCTCCCCCCTCCCCCACTCTCTGAGACCTTCACCAACAGCACCCATCTTTGCAGGATATTTAGAGCAACTCATTCTTTTAGGCTAGGAGATTTTCTTGCTGTATGTGCTGAAAACTGAATAGCCCTTGGCTTGAATGAATAAATGCAACAATCCCCGTGAGTGAATTCCTGAACAGCACCACCCTAATGGGAATGGTTTGCACTCCAGCAGGGTTTGGTTTTTTTCTGTGGTGGTTATCTTTCTTCTTGGGCCCGTGAATGCCTGGGTAGCTGGTACACAGCTGGGCAATGCCTCTTAGGTTATCTCATGGCACCCCTAACTTTTCACAAGGAAACTAAGACATCTCATTGGTTGACTCCCCTGAATTTACTCTGTCAAGTTGAAAAAGAGGACACAGCTGGAAGCATTCATGACTCAAGACTTGCTCCTTTTAGTAGGGCCATGCTTCCATGGTTAGGGGTAAGGGTAAATGAACATATGATCAGAAACCTCTCCCTGACTCTCGAAGACACGGCAGATTCCTTTGCTAAAGATAGTAGCGGCCCAACAAAAATCCTTCAACTCTCAGGACAAAGTTGTTCCTGATAACAGGATAGCCCTGGACTATCTTTTAGCTGAGCAAGGAGGCATCTGTGTGCATCTGGATTAACACTTTTGGGAAAGGTGAAACTCAGGTACTCAAGATCACCGAGCAAGGTGCTTGGCTTAAAAGGTTGACTCCTTGGGGCACCTGGGTGGCTCAGTCGGCTAAGTGTTTGACTTCGGCTCAGGTCATGATGCCACAGTTCTGAGTTTGAGCCCCATGTCAGGCTCTGTGCTGACGGCTCAGAGCCTGGAGCCTGCTTTCGATTCTGTGTCTCCCTCTCTCTCTGACCCTCCCTCACTCATGCTCTCAAAAAATAAATAAATGTTAAGAAAAAAAAGTTTGACTCCTTCCACAGAGTCATTCCTTAACTTTTTTGATCTGTAACCAGTTTAGGTCTTGGAGACCATGGCTTTGAAGTACACTTCCAGCACTGGGACTTGCCCTGCTTTTAGTAAACATAATAATCTACCCGCCGTGTTGTGTTCCCTCAGAAGTTTTAAATGTATGTTACCAGCCATTAACCACCAAGCAAATGATCTCCCTAAAACTGGAACATCTAAGGAATGAGGAAAATAACCAGCTCAAAGAATGTGAATCAGAAACCGTGACCCATGAATAACACAGAAGCTGAGTAAAAACCATCATGACCTACAGGTACCACACAAAGAAGCAACAAAAAGCGTCAATTGCAGGGCAGTAGCCGAGAGTGGAGCCAATGCCTTACAATTTGATCCTATCTCTCAGTTAAATGCAGAGTCTGCTCAAAAGGGGGGAACTGTTAAAAAGAAAACCAGATGGTGGTGTCACTTAAAATGGTGTCACTTGGACCGAGTGCTCAAATTCGGCTTAATACCCAACCTGATTGCAGTTTCAACCTCCCCCAGAAATGGAGTCTTAACCGGTCATTCAGTAGTTTTTCCATCAGCACCAGTGGGTCTGCCTCCTGGGTCCACTCCATCCCTCAAAGAAAGATGAGATAATCTGCATGAGAAGACACCTTGCTTTCCCCCCCAAGAAAGCAGCCTCCTCTAGAACAATCCTTTTCTTCTGCTAATAACTTTCTTGCCCCCACCCTCCCCTTCTATAAAAACCTTCCATTTTGTACAACTCCTTGGAGCCCCCTCTACTTGCTAGATGGAATGCTGTCCCATTCACGAATTGTTTAATAAAGCCAGTTAAATCTCCAAACTTACTAGGTTGAAAGTTGTTGTTGTTGTTGTTTTCCCCACAGGTATGACTTAATTCCAAATATACAGATACTATCCATCCCTTCTGAAGACAAAATAGTGCACTGGGTCCTTCAGGTCACAGAAGTAATCAACACAAAACTTTCCAGCTTCAAATTACTCTAAAACTTGGAGGTCCATTTCCCACCGCTTTCTGCTCTTGTCAGCCCTTGAAAACTCTACCTTTGAGCACACTAACCCAAATTGTGTGGAAAAAAATACTGAAAATGTTAATAATAGGGCCATATTATATATCCGATACTAGGAAAAGAAAGCGGGAGGAAAACTATGTGGCCTTTGGTCTTACGCAAAGAATATAATAGAAGTTATCAGGAATTATAACTAGGCGAACCAGAGGGTGGGAAGGTAGAGTGGGAAAGAACCACAAAATTTAATGGCTGTGGTTTCTATCCTCTTCACAGATACTTACATGTGAATAATGCAATCATAGTCCTTCTCCAAAAAAAACGAGGCATCAGCAATCATTCTAAACGATTACTCTGCACCTCTGTATATTTGCTCTTAAACTGTCGGCAAGGAAATCTTAAACTAAAACATTTTAAATGAACCGAAATGGTAAATGGCTTTCCCAGTGTTTGCTGAGAACCAGTATGATAATAGAAGCTGGTGTCTACTGAAATGGAATGGAAGCCACAATAAAAACAAACAAACAAACAAACAAAAAGCACAACCAAAGCTATTCAGTCGTTTTCAATTCATCAGTTCATCAGCAGTGGTATTTGGTATGGTCATTTTTCACTCAGAAGAAATGTCAAGCACACAGGACAACACCTGTTTTGGTTGTCTTAACTGGAATTTATAACAGGTATTTGTAGAACCGGACTGATTGGAATAATGAACTGCATCAACTGAGTAAGAAAGAGGAAAATCAACTTCACTTCATTGGTTTTCTCCTCATCAGCTTGTCCATAACCAGAATACGTTTCTTGATCATGATACTGATCGATTCACGTCCACTGGTGCTCTCTGCAGATCCACACAGCAATGGTCAAATTAAAAAAAAAAAAAAAAAAAAAAAAAAAAAAAAAAAATTATGGGGCGCCTGGGTGGCTCAGTTGGTTGAGAGTCCAGCTTCGGCTCAGGTCATGATCTCGCAGTTCGTGAGTTCAAGCCCCGCGTCGGGCTCAGAGCCTGGAGCCTGCTTCGGATTCTGTCTCCTTCTCTCTCTCTACCCCTCCCCACTTGTGCTCTATCTCTCTGTCTCTCAAAAAAAAAAATGTAAAAAAAATTTTTTTTTTAATTATTATTCTGTTTTGCCTGAGGATCGACCACTTAAGTGTCTGCTTTGACACCTGCCTCAGCATCTTCTATTTCCTGAAGGTAGCTACTTTTTTCCATCCTCTTTTTCTCTGGTTGAAGTGGAAAACCAATAGGGTGATCGTTATTATTTTTCTGGGGTCTTTGTTCTTTTTTTCTTTTTTAGTTCCCAGTGATAGACCATATACTTCCTATTGTTTTAAAATGAGAATCAAGCAAGACATCATGGAAGATTAATATGAATGAAACACAAACCATTATTTTCTTAGTGCCCATCAATGTTCAGATTACCATCCCCTTACCTATTCCCACAGCATCTTTTTTTTTCTGTTACTTTTTTCTCTTTGGAGACATAGCAAGTTTAATATCAATAGAGCTTAATATCAAAGGGTACCAGGATCCTAACGCTGAAGCTTGTGTAAAAGCCATGACACTGGTGACTTCTTTCTTCTTTCTCTTTTGGACTTCTATCGTGCTGATTCTTACCCAGGTTTCTGTTGCCAAACTACTTCTGGGTGGACTGGGGAGATTCCAGGCCCAGAGGCCTCCGCCGCACCCGTCCTAAAGATGCCAGTGAAGGCTCTTGGTTTCATCACGAGAAAGAATTCAAGGACAGACACAACACAGTGGGTGAGTGGTACCAGCAGCAAAGTTTTACTAAAGCAAAAAATACACTTCCGAGATGTGAGAGTGGGAGAGAGAGAGAGAGTGAGAGAGCAAGCGAGCTGTGCATTGTGAGCTTCTATCTTTTCTTGACAGTTGTTAATAAGGGGGTGGAATATACATTATTTGAGCTGGGGATTTCTTGGCAACTGGGTTTCAGCACCATTTATTTCTTCCTGACTTGGTGAAGGGTTTCCAGCCTACTTTGTCAGCCCTCTTGGGCCTGTCTGGTTTGATCCAGCTTCTTGTGGCTTTGCTTTGAGATGTTGCCAGGACAGGCCTCTGACTCTCCTGATAGCTGGCCATGACTTCTCTTTGCTGGCTTCCGGACATCCTGTTAAAAACTAACTAACCGCCTCCAACAAAACCCTGAAATCAGATTCGTGTCCCGCGTGCAGTAAGCCAATCTCTGAGTCACTGGGTTTGAAGCAGAGAAAGTTTTGTTATTGAAAAGGCAGCTCAAGGAGAAGGCAGGGGAGCACTCCCAAATTTGCCCTGCCTTTGTTGAGCCTCGGGACAATTTTTATGGGGCTAACAGGGTATGTGGGAGTTAGGGCAGGAACTGGATGGGCCTTGGAACTTCTCAAGGGGAGACTCAAAACTTTTGGGATTTCAAGTTGCTTTGGACATCAGGGCTCCATCCGGGGTTTCTGGTGCGTTACAGGTTGGTCTTGTGTCTGCAAAACAGACATTATAAGGTAGCCTCCCTCCCTGGTTCCTGCAGCAAGTACTGGGGAGGAAAAGGAATGAAAAACAAGGTTAATAATTCCTGCAAGGCTGTGGAGGAATGTGCCTGTGCAGCGCATGAGGTTACAAGGGAGGAAACGCCTACTTGAAGGTTTACATGAATAAAGCATGTGTTTGAGTTCATTTTTCCCATCATCTGAAAGCAGAACATTCCTCTGAAACTTTCTGGAAGCTGAAATGGCATGAAGCAAAGAAGCAATTGCCATTGACTTACATAGAAAAAATTTTGAGCATTCCCGACCCCCCCCCAAATAACCTGTCTTGGGCCTTTCTGATACCTCAGGACACATCTTGCTAAGGGATGCACAAAGTAAATCGAAGTAAAGCACAGGTGCTCACAGACACAGTTCAAGGCTCTGGCGGCTTGAGGCTGAGATGCCCAGGGCGGTTCCCAGGCAAGGCGCTGGGTGGGACCCCTCCCACGGCTGGGGTGAGCGCTGAATGCTATTCTTGCCTTTTACCTCTTTTCCTAAAAGCAAAAAATCCTCTTCGGAGTTCTTTCAGCTCACAAAAACAGGTAACCAATGTAGGTCTTCTGGAAAAGTCAAGCGGCATAACGAGAACTTTCAAAAAGCAGGGATACTGGTAATAGTGTACAGCCATGTATTGTCGCCTAGCAAGCTGATAGTGACATCTGGTAAAGTAGGCCATTCATTTATGGTGTTAGGATTTGGGGGCAGCTGAAGTGCTCTCTAACAGGAAGGAAAACTTAAACTCCGGAATAAATGACACTCTTCAAAGGGAAAACATGGGAAAATAAAGATGTTAAGAATGTTTGGGGAGTTTATAAAATCTATTCCTGTGTCCTCCCCTTGGACTTTCTTGTACTCTAAATATAGCCCTAGGTGGGGCACCTGGGTGGCTCAGTCGGTTAAGCGTCCCACTTCGGCTCCGGTCATGATCTCGAGGTCTGTGGGTTCGAGCCCCGCGTCAGGCTCTGTGCTGACAGCTCGGAGCCTGGAGCCTGTTTCAGATTCTGTGTCTCCCTCTTCCTGTGACCCTCCCCTGTTCATGCTCTCTCTCTCTCTGTCTCAAAAATAAATAAATGTTAAAAAAAAATTAAAAAAAATAAATATAGCCCTAGAATCAAATTTTTCCTGTATGTCTAGAAATAAATAGATGCATATTTATAATTATATGATTTACAACGTGTTTATAGTTTCACAATTTTATAATAAAATCAGATGCTTTTTTTAATGTGCTGAATGACACCTGAAGATGTAGACAAACTGAATCGTTCTTCAAAAATTGTCCATCAGCTCTCCTTTCTCCTTACTGTTATTTACGGAAAACTTTGCTCTTCAGTGAAGAAAACTTAAAAAGTAGGGTAATCCTAGGAAGAAAAAACTGACTGAGGACCAAAAAGCACAATTTCCCAGCTGCAAGATTTTTTTTGTTTGGTGTTAGAATTCTCCAGTGTCCCTCCCTCCCTCTCTTCTTTCTTTCCTTCCGCGGGAGGACTTCCAGGATCTGAAAGTTACAATGTGTAGGTTGTGTCCTTATGCTGTGTTCTGTGTTTATTTCTCAAGTTTCCCCCTGCATAGAGTTAATGAGGTATTTCTGTTAATTTCCCCTTTTGTGGTTGTATGGAAACATTCTCTCTTTGATCCAGAGAATCATAAAAGGGGAATATGGTAACATCGGTAAGTATAGTATAACACGTAGTATAGTATAACCTTGGTATAGTAACAATGGTGCAGTAACATTACTGAGAAAAATAAGAATGAGAGATGTGACAAAGATTCAAATCAAGGCTACTCTGCAGGCCATTCTACCAGAAAACACTGTAAAGGTAGTATTTAGAGGCATTTTCTTCCATAAATTTAACCCATCTTCCAAGAAAATGTTTTGTAACTTTTTATGTCTGGTTAATTACCTTGGGCTTACGGCAAAACAAAAATAGCCTATTATACATACTTGGTCAGTGAAGCTTCTGATGCCTATTATACATTGCCAATACACACATCCTTCTTGCATGCAATATTGAATATTTTTCTAGCATACATCTTGACCTAGCATCATGATCAGAAAAGTCAGATTCTTTAACCAAACTAAACCAAATTATAACTGACATCTGTGGTGTTTTTTTTTTAATTTTAATTTTAATTTTAATTAATTAATTAAAATTTTTTGTTTGTTTGTTTAGGTCTTCGTGTGGCAAATGAGAGTTGAATTTTTTCCCTGAGTCATGAACCGGCAGCATTAAAAGAAATAGTGTCTTTATTCTCCGTTGGTAGTAATGATTATGATTATGATGGTAGGAGCTGGCAACATTTTTGAGCTTATTATGTCTAAGGCATTTATTTGAGGATAAGCTTTATACGAATGAATTCTCAAAACAACCCCCCCCCCCCCCCCACAGCAAAGTGAATAGGGAAACATTAGGCAGAGAGAGATAAGATAAGGGACCTTATCTCTGCAAGTGGGAGGCTGAAGAAACAGCAGGGTTTGGGCCAAAAAAAGGAAAAACATATTCCAGACCCGCCTGGGCAAGGTCCCATGAGTGGAGTCCCACAAACTTTCCGATAAGGTCCCAATAAGAAGTCAGGGACAGAAATCCTCAGCGGCTACCCAGTCGGGACCCCTCTCACTCTTGCGAGCTTTATACTTTCCCTCAATAAACTCTATTGCTTTGCTCACTCTCTGTTGTTGTCTGTGAGATTCATTCTTCGGCTCTGTGAGACGAGGACCAGTGTCTCGCCCACCCTCCTATAACAAACGTAGTTATTATTTGTCTCTGCTTGATAGAAAATTTCGAGGCAGACCAAGTTAAAATAGCTGCCAGGCTAGCATGGTTTTACCTGCAAAGACAATACAGCTAAACGAATGACACAAAACAAAATGAAAAGCAACGTATCTTTATAAGAGATAACACAAATGAGAATTCAAAACAAAACAAACAGAAAACCATAGCCAAAATGAGAATTTTTTTGAATGCAGGTATACATATTTTAATTTATTTTTAAGAATATATTTACACCTTTGGGGCGCCTGGGTGGTTCAGTCGGTTGAGTACGACTCTTGATTTTGACGCAGGTCATGATGTCGCGATTTGTGAGATCGAACCCCGCGTCAGGCTCCGCATTGGCAGCATGGAGCCTCCTCGGGATTCTCTCCCTCCCTCTCTTTCTGCTCTTCCTCCACTCATGCCCTCTCTCTCCTGAAATAAATACATAAACATTACAAAAAAGTATATATTTACACTTTTAAAACAGGACGTGTACATATATGACGAGCCGGCATGGTTGACACAGATCACATCCACACTGGTGAGCTTTTGGGAATCATTTAAGGTGCCAAGAGTGGTACTATGAAGACAGACAGGGTAAGACTAAATCACCGTTGCTCTGGGGAGAGCGGCAATGAGAGACACAGTAGGTAAGGAAGGAGCCTCGCTGTGGATGCTACAGCAGGAACAACTTCCCAGTGTTGCCATGTGCGAAGTTTCGAATCTCCGTGACTGAAATGGCCCAACCCATCCAAACAGACGCCCAACTGGGCTGGCGATTGCAGGTGGTAGATGAACTCACGCATAGTGTGCACAGGGATAGAGAGGAGTAGACTCAAAGAAAAAGTCTTGAAGAGATCAAAGTTCAGACAAGCGTATGTGTTTATTCACACATGCTCCCACAAAGGGCATTGTTTAACCATGACCAAATGGCCTAAACATGG